TCCATCATATTCGATGCATCTGATAATCTTTCATGTCTGAAATGATTGGAGATGCCCTCAACTGAAAGCTGGTGACTCGGTTAATTCGTTTCTCTGCTTCCTTTTTTCTTCCCATGAGAAATGTTAGGTGTGTCAGATTGTAATATCTAAAAATCGGATTCTCTGTTGGTTTTTTTATAACTCACATAATGTGGCACACATGCATCGGATGGCAGTAGAAACCAACTTGGGGCATGAAGGACCTGGCCCCTGAGAAAACCACAATAACATCAAACAGATTGTCCAGATTATCTCAGTATTCTTCTCGTAAGGCTATATTATTTCCTCGAACAAAATTGTGCTTCATTTATCGTACAGAAAGGCAACGAGTGTTTTTTTTTCAGGTGAGTTGAAGATGGCGCGTTTCCTGTTTGGTATTTTTGTTGTGGGAGGTGCTTTGCATTATGGAGCAAAATCCTTGAATAGTCATCCATCAGAAGTGTGGAATTCGTCGCTACTTTTTCCAGCTCCCCTTACCATAGTACTTCATTGGATGACGTACTGGTTGTCCGAAGAGATGGCAGCCCGTAATCCTCAATTTCCACTCTTAACTGCTCAGGTTAGACCATTTTCCAATAAATTGGTGCTTAAAAAAGATGAGAGAAATGGGGGAGCTTGAAAGAAGTAATCAAACCGTGAAACAACTTAGAATGTATGTTAAAAAGCTGAGTAAAAATTGAAGGATTAGTAAAAGAGGGGAAAAATTTGAGGCAGCTGCTTAGTTGCAGAACGAGTTTTCGAGTTAATATTAGTATTTGAAACTGGGTTTTGGCCAAATGACTTTCACTTAATTTGTAAGAATTCTATGATTTTTATTGTCCGTACAAAGCCGCTTGCAGTTCGTGAGGTCGTCATCTTATACAGAAATTAAATGTTCCCTTTGTAGACTTATTTCATTGGCTGCACTCGACTTGCTGGGTAAAGGGGTTGCGGGTTGCTATAATTTGCTCCTGTAGATTCAAGGCTGAGTTAAAAGCGGTAATCTGAGAGAAGAGGGAAGAAAAGCGGGGAGGAGGGGAG